ATCTGGAAGGAGCTATACCTTCAGAACAATCTGTGTAGCCAAGTGTTCTGGCTATATCAGTACTAATGTGAGTCTCACAGGCACTGATCAACCTTGCGAGTCCAAAGTCTGCAACTTTGGGCTCGAAGTCTTCGTTGAGCAAGATGTTGCTGGCTTTGATGTCCATGTGGATGATGTGGGGGCTGAATCCATGGTGAAGAAAAGCAAGGCCGCGGGCTGCACCCATGGCGATTTTGAAACGTCTGTCCCAATCTAGGACTTCAAGATCCCCAGTCTGATTTCTCAGCCCAAATGTCCAGGCTCCCATTTACCATATACTCGTAAACAAGGAGCTTCTCCTCGCCAAGAGAGCAGTACCCGAGTAATGGAACGAGATTCTGGTGGTTTACCTTACCCAGGGTTTCCATTTCAGCGATGAATTCTCGATGGCCCTGAGTTTTATACTCGCTTAGCTTCTTAATCGCGACTGTTTTCCCATCGGACAATGTGGCCTTGTACACAGTTCCAAAGCCTCCATCTCCTATTATGTTTGTCTTGCAGAAGTTGTTGGTGGCTTCAAGAATGTCAACTAAAGTAAGCTTGAACAGCGGCTGCTGAAACATGGCGACGTTGATGCTCAGAGGCTCCTTTGATCAGCTGCTGCCGCTTAAGCTCTGTGCAGGATCCAGGGGTCACCCTCTGCATGGTACAAAAAAAACATCCCGGCTCGTCCTTAGGCAACGGTGTGTCCTCATCTTCGCAGGAAAACAGCAACGGCAGTGCAATGGTTGTGTAGTCGCTGTGCAATGGCGGCGGTGCAGGGCAACAAGAATGCAGTGGCGGTGCAATGGTTGTGCAGTGGCAGTGGCAAACAGCAATGGCGAAAAACCTCAATAACCACCGTCAAACGACTAGCCGGTCATGAAGCCTCGACTCCAACTCTACGTCGTCTTCGTCCTCCCTGCAAATTCCCCATCCCATCATCAAAATTTATACAAAAAAAAAATTATTAAAAAATGGGATGGTGGAACACTGCACCATAATTAAAGAAAAAAAAATTAATAAAATAATAAAAAGATGATGAAGGAACATGGTGCGTCTGGCACCTTATGAAGAAAGGGGGAGAGGTGCAGCTGTCACCATAATTAAAGGCAAAAAAAAAAAAAAAAAAATATATATATATATATATATATATATATATATATATATATATATATTTAAAGAGTTATGGTGCATCTGGCACCATGTGCAAAAAAATAAAAAATAAAAAAAAAAAAAAAAAAAAAGAGAAAAGAGGAACAAATGTATTAAGAGAAATAAAAGTCCATTTTATTTCTAGAAATTTTTACATAAATTTGCATTGTACATACAAAAAAAAAAAAAAAAAAAAAAATCAAATCAAATTTACAAGAGTGGATCTTCAAGGACGATCAGGTGGCGCCTCACAACTCGGCAGAGCTCCAGAAAGAGGAGGTGCCGGAGGTTGACTGTTTGAAGCCTCAGCAGTCGGTACAGCCCCAGAAGACGAAGGTAAATGCTGCTGGAACAAACCCACAAACCGCTGATGATCAAGTAAAATCTGACCATCAGATTCCTGCATCTGGTCAATCTTCCTCTTCATGTTTGTCGCATAGCTATGTGCGAGCTTATGCAACTGTTTATTCTCCTGCTTGAGCCCTCTAATCTCCTGTTTGAGACTCATCACCTCAGCCGCCAATGATTCAACTTGACGGTTTCGGGCAAATAGGCGTTGGGCCATATTGGATATTGCACACAGAACACAGGGTTCGGGCAAACCTGCACACTGCACACTGAGAGCCAGAGAATCCTTAACAGCCAACTCATCCGACCGTTTAGAAAGTAGTCTGTTATCTCTGGGAGTGACAAGGTTCCGGGCCACCACCGCAGCGGTCATATCATTCTTCACCCACCGAATCCCCAACGGTAAGAGGACCAGTAGGGGATATGAAGGATGGGCGCCATATGTTGTCTGGAGAAGGGGGGACTGCCTCTTCACCAAGATTCAAGTCAAAACGACGGTCGGAGGGTCCAGACATTTTCAAAAGTGTTGAAAAAAATAAGAGATCGGACAAATCAAGATCTTAGAAGTGCAAGATCAAGATCTTAGAAGCAAGAAAAGTTTTCACAAGTGAAAATTCAAGTGTGCTTTGAAACGAACAGCGTGCCTCTATAAAAAATCAGCACTCGACGGGATTTCAGAGATCGAAGAGGCGAGCTCAGAATTCGAAGCGGCTATTCAAAAATCGAAGAGGCAAGCTCAGAAATCGGAAAAGCATCTTGCTTTTCCAGACCCGTCGGCACCCGTCACACGCAAACTCAGCTTTGCGGAAATCACGGGTAATTTGTCGAAGCGCCAATCCCAAATATCGAAGAGGCGCCAGTCTTTTTCAGCCGTGTCATCACCTGTCATATGCACACTCAACTTTGCGCAAATCACGGACAATTTGTCGAAAGATTTTTGGGTGAAGGAGAAAGCACGTGAAGTTTACTGTTCAATCATCCAACGGTTGCCGACACGAGTAAAAGAATAGTACCTCTACAGGTATTAAAAAACTTCCTATAACTGTCCACCTTCACATTCCATAGCAAGGCAGACATACAGAGCCTTTCTTCATCTCCAAAAATGCTTTCCCAACGAAACCTCTCGAGTCATTCAGTGTTCCTTATTCCTTGGGGTACCTCTGCAAGCCAATAACTCCAAAGCAAAAGTATCTCATATCACCAGGGTAGAAAGCAAGAGTATCTCATATCATGCGTTCTCCCTGTCATTTCCTTTGTCCTTGTTCTTACCTACAAAGACAAGGATAAAGAAACAATATGCCGGAACTTCCACTCAAACTCGGGTAAGGAACCGACTGCTTGGAACCCTTCCCTGATTGCCTACCTAGCACTGCTCTCGAGTACTCGCCTTCCACTGCTGCTGTACTTCTAAAGAAGCTGCCACATCTGCCTGGAGAACAGATAAGGCAAGTGAAAATGATACCTTGCAGCATGTGGAGACAAGGTGCAAAAGGAACAAGCAGAGAAGAATGCAGGCTGCACAGTCAACTCAGCAGAAGGAGTCCGAGCTAAAGAACTCGAGAAGCTGCCATATCTGCCTGAAGAAACAAGCAGAGAAGAATGCAGCATGCACAATCAACTCGGCAGAAAGAGTCTGAGATGAAGAACTCGTTTTGACCCTCAAATTCTTGGGTCGACTTACTAGGCGTTGTGGGCTGCACGTGCCGATTCACCACCCTTGAATCAAATCCTTAAAGATCAAGTCACCAACTGGAAAAATAGCCCATCAATCTTGAAGATCATACCGTTGACCAAACTGCTCAGGTGTGAATTAGAAAGATTGAACAAAGAAACAGGTTGTCACCTTTACCTCGTGCCTGCTTGCCATGTGTTCGAGTTAACCTTCAAGAATCAAGCCTCAACGGCCCTTGAAGAAGTTTCCAGCTAAATTCAAGATCAAGCATTGACGGCCCTTGAGGAAATCACAAGTCCGATTCAAGATCAAGTGTCTACCACTCTTGAATCAAAACCTAGTTCAAGAATAAGCTGTGGAAAATCAACAATTGGAGGAATCCAGAAAATCCTCCAACCCAGTTCAAGATCAAAGCTGTGGAAAGTCAACAAGCGCAACAAAATACGTGCCGATTCACCCACTACCAAAGCCAAAGATCATCTACCACATGAAGCTCCTTGTGGTCCAATTTCAACCTTCAAGATCAAGCATCGACGGTCCTTGAAGAAATTTCAAATAAAAGTTCAAGAACAAGCCTCAACGGCCCTTGAAGAAATTTCAAACGAAAGTTCAAGAACAAGCCTCAACGGCCCTTGAAGAAATCTCAAGCCCAATTCAAGATCAAGCCTCAACGGCCCTTGAAGAAATCTCCAGCCCAATTCAAGATCAAGCCTCGACGGCCCTTGGATCGACATCTACAGTAAGGGACTTCAAAACGCATCTCCTACACGTGACAAGCACATGTATACGACGTGCCTTGAAGTGGGGGCATTTGTAGACATCGAAATTTCGGTAAATAAATGTTGACCGATAAATCAAAGTGTCAACGCTCATGTATTACATAAATTTTACACGTAGCGTGTGACTAAACGAAAATTGAAATGAGTTGGGAAAAGTCATCAAATAGGACACGTGTCAACACCCCTGGCAGAAACGACTTATTTCATCTGGGATATTATATTCAAAATTAGGCCTTGGAAAATTCTATAAATACAAGCCCATTTCATTCATTTGAGGGGAACCAAAATCATTAGGCAAAACTCTTGAAGCTCTGAAGCTCTGAAACTCCGAAGCTCTCAAGCATCCAGGTTCCCGAAGAATCAAGAAAGCGTTCTTCGTTCATCGTTCATCCTAAGATCAAGCCCCAACGGCCCTTTGGATCAACAATCATCCACCAATTCAAGATCAAGCCCCGACGGCCCTTGAAGAAAGTGTTCTTCGTTCTTCGTTCTTCGTTCATTGTTCTTCCAAGATCAAGCCCTGACGGCCCTTGGATCAACCATCCACCAATTCAAGATCAAGCCCCGACGGCCCTTGAAGAAAGCACCATCGTTCATCATCCGTTCATCCAAGATCAAGCCTCAACGGCCCTTTGGATCAACAACGTCGACAAATCCACACATCCAACCGTTCTTCAAGATCAAGCCCAAAAGCCTTTGAAGATCCGTTCATCACTGTTCTTCAAGATCAAGCCCAAAAGCCCTTGGAGATCCGTTCATCACTGTTCTTCAAAGATCAAGCCCAAAAGCCCCTTTGAAGATCCGCTCAAATCCACCTTCAAGATCAAGTCCACGGCCCTTGAAGAACGTTCATCCTTAGATCAAGCCCAACGGCCCTTTGGATCAATCACACATCCACAAATACACACTTTACGGAGATCGAATCAGAGGATCAAAATAGAGAGAGATTGTAACCCAAAATCATCAAAAATACAAATATTTTGTTTGTGCACGTTGTTCTTGTCTCTTTCGTTTCAGGAAATTTCCGTTCACAGAAGGTTCTTGGTCACTCGAAGAACTAGTCCAGGACTAGTATTAAGAAGTCCAAAGGCAATGGCAAGCTTTTCACTGTGGGTTGTCAGGCTATGTTCTTTCTCCTCTTCACTAACATCATGCAAAACAAAGCTAGTGTCAGGTACATAACCGGCTGCCTTAATTTTCTTCGGTAACTCGTCCAGCAAGAACTCGTAAATTTCTTTTGCTTGAGGGTGAGATGTATCTCCACCAAGAAACAAGTGAGCTTTCCCATTGACCTCTGTCCAACTGCATCCAGGGTTCTTCTTCACGCCTTGAGCTTTCAAAAGAACTCTCAAATTGTCCACTTCCTTCCACATGCCGGCTTCAGCATATATGTTTGACAGCATGACATAATTGCCACTATTTTCTGGTTCTAAGATGAATAGACTTCTTGCTGCAATTTCGGCAATTTCCAAGTTATGGTGTTTCCGACAAGCCGATAACATTGCACCCCAAATGCTTGGCCCTGCTTGCATTGGCATTTTACTTATAAGATCTTTAGCTTCTGCCAAGCGCCCTGCACGACCCAGAAGATCAACAACACAAGCATAATGTTCAACCCCTGGTTCGACAGAGTATACTCTTTTCATGTAATCGAAGTATTTTAGGCCAACATCGACGAGCCCTGAATGGCTGCATCCTGATAACAACCCTGTGAATGTAATGTTATCAGGTTGAACCCCGGCCACAATCATGTCCTCAAAGGTGGAAACAGCTTCTGATCCGCGTCCATGTGAGGCATAAGCTGTTATCATTGTATTCCATGCAACTAAATTATTTTGAGTTCCACGTACTCTTTCGAAACACTGACGAGCATCCAAGAGGCTCCCACATTTAGCATACATTGCGAGGAGTGCTGTCTGTATGGAAACATTAGACTCTAAACCAATCCTGCTCGCAAAGTTGTGAATTTTTCTCCCTCGCTCGAGGGCAGCTGAATGTGCACATGCAGGAAGAACACTCATTATCGTCACCCAGTTCGGCTTAACCTTAGAATCTTTCTTCAACATCTCATCAAACAAAAACAATGCTTGCTCCGCAAGCCCATTTTGAGTGTACCCCGATATCATAGCCGTCCAAGAAACAATATTTCTGCCCGGCATTTTCCCAAACAAATCCTCAGCAAGACAAATCTCCCCATCTTTCATGTACCCGGCAATCAACGCATTCCAAGATGAAACATCTCTCACAGTCATTTTATCGAACAGCCTACGTGCATCGCTCATATCACAGCATTTCACATACATGTTGATCAAAGAAGTCCCAACATACATATCAGATTCCAACCCAACTTTCAAACTCAACCCATGAACACATTTTCCAATCCAAATCCTCGACAGTTCCGCACAACACTTGAGAACAAAAGGGTACGTAAAGTTGTCTGCTTTAAGCCCTAAACAATGCATTCTGCCATAGATTTCCATGGTTTCCTCAGAGAACCCATGTAGCGTATACGCCCGAATGATCGAATTATACAGAAGCGTTGATGGGTTGTTTACTCTGTGGAAGATAGCGACAGCTGAGTCGAGATCATCTGAGCTTGCATACATTGCGACCATCTTGGCGCCGAGATATGCATCGGGTTCGAACCCGCGTAGGGCCATCTGGGCGTGGACTTGTTGGCCTAGTTTCAGCAAGTTCTTGCCAGTCAAGGACTGAAAAATTGGTGCATAGAATGAAACGAAGCGTGGATCTTGTGCCAGAAGTGGTTTTAGGAGGGTGCGCATGGTTGCGTGCGGTGAAAGCAATGCAGCACGGATTTTGGGTAGTGGAGGAGAAGGACGTTAAACTTGAGGAAAAGAGAACGGACCCTATTTTTTCATACCATGTCAAACAATTTATTGGAAGAAAAGGCATTGCTCCAATTTTACTTATTGATTAGTTGATTCTTTGAATTAATAAAAGAATAATATTTGGTTGCTCATGGATAAAAAAATTTACTCAAAATTCTTAATGGACAATTTATATATTTTTGTGTTTATGATCGAATCGGTCTTATAAATTATTCTGTAAAAATCTCTATAAAAAATAAGTAAAACTAATATCATTTAATCAACAATTGTAGCAAATAGATAAACGATTCTTAATACGATAATTAATTAATTAAACCAAACTGTCTCAAATTGATGCTTCTAGCACTATATATTAGTTTTGAGTATCAAATCCCTAATTACGAAGCAAAATACAAAGTCCTCTCTGAAAAAACAAGAACCAAAAAAGATAATCTCGAAATTGATACACGTGGTAGAGGACATGTACGTCTTCGAAATGAAGATTAGCTACGAGTTGATCAAAACAAAGCCATGACTAATTCATCTAACCAGCCGGCTTGCTTTATCTTGGTCACTAATGTTTGTTGTGCTTTTGACAGAAAGAAATAAATAAATAAATAAAATTCCATGGTGTACTACTATTTCTATTACTTTAAGTGCTAGATATCAACGATTGATCCTAATTCCCAGCTGTTTCCTTTCCTATTCCCAGCTTGTTTTTTCCCTCCCTTTGTTACTTACGTATATAATATAAGCTTACATGGCCTATTTGCAAAAACAAGAAAACCAGAAACGCAGAAAAACCAGAACCTGCATTGCAAATTTAGGCCTTCAAACATGGCCTGTACCGGCTTTAACCGCCGCTCATTTGCGTGGGCAGTTCTGATAGCAGTAGTTCTTGTTGCTAGAGCCAATGCTATTGACATATTTCTGGAATGGCATCTTACACTTGACACCACACTCAAGCCTGTGACCCGAGATCAACCTGTAAGAACAAGAACAAAACCTAGTTGTTAGTAGTTTTTTCTTTTTTTCTTTGGACAGACGATATTATCTATACTAAGGAGGTGAGGAAGTGGACTAAGCCTGACTGGGCTAACCATAATAATGTAATTCAAATTCGCCTTTGGCGAGAATCGAACATAAGGCCTAATCACTTACAAGTGAAGGAATAGCACTAGTTTTTAGTAGTTAGTTCTCGGCAGTTCCAATTTGCCAATAATGGTTGTTCTAAATTTCCTTGATTTCGAGCAGGTTATTGTGATTAATGGATTGTTCCCGGGGCCACTTATCAACGCCACTACGAATGATTTTGTTCATGTGAACATCTTTAACGACATGGATGAACCTCTTCTCTTTACATGGTAAGTAACAAATAATTAATTTTTGCATGGAGTTCAAATGTTGGTCTGAGAACTTGAGAAAAAATGTGTTTCTAGTGCAGGAATGGCATACAGCAAAGGTTAAACTCATGGCAAGATGGAGTTTCCGGAACAAACTGCCCGATTCAACCTGGTACAAACTGGACTTATGTGTTCCAGACCAAGGATCAGATCGGCAGTTTCTTCTACTTCCCTTCCATCAATTTCCACAAGGCTGCTGGAGGATTCGGACCTATACGTGTCATCAACCGCAATGTCATTGCCGTCCCCTTCCCCAGACCAGAAGCTGAATTTGATCTCCTTATTGGCGATTGGTTTTATGACAGTTACCAGGTCTTTTACTTGATACTTTGTTCATGAACAACATCAATTTGCTCCATTTCTTTTGGCTGACACAATTTTTTTGGGCATGAAATTCGAATAGAGTACTAGGGCATTGATGGGCACTCCTCTAGTGGCATACCATGCAATCCCTGATATAATTTTGATGAATGGCAAAGGACCTGTTGGTAACCCCATGTCAAAATCCTATGAATCATTCAATGTCACACAAGGTACTTTAATTCAGATTCCAATTACTGAATTCAAATCTCACAAACAACAATTGTTACTGCTATTTAATTTACGTACAATAGTCTGACCAATATTTCATATGATGGCATATTTGTTATGCAGGGATGACTTACAGGTTGAGAATATCAAACGTGGGGAATGCTTTGAGTTTCAATTTCAGGATTCAAAACCATCAAATGGTGCTGGTTGAAACAGAAGGATCCTACACTGATCAGATCGCGTTGGATTCTCTGGATGTGCATGTCGGCCAATCATACTCGGTTCTTGTCACAGCTAACCAAAATGCAGCTGATTATTACATGGTGGCATCTCCCAAGTTGGTCAACACGTCTGAATTTACTAGCCTTGTGGGCATTGGGGTTTTGCACTATTCCAATTCAGTCTCACAAGTTAGTGGGCCTCTGCCTGATGGACCTGACCCTTTTGATTTAGATTTCTCAGTCGATCAAGCCAAATCTATTAGGTAAGAAAGCTTCATCAACAACGATTATTGCTTTGTACTGGAACATTCTCGTACAAACTATACAATGTTACCAACATTCTCGTACAAACTATACAATGTTACCTATTTAAGCGTTATTGCATAGGTGGGCGAGGGATTTATAATTTAGGGTATTGTGTTTATTGTCATACATGTTTATAACATAATGTCGATTAGTAAATTATGCGATAATGTTGCACTCTACGGTTTCAGTGGAGAACTACTTGTATATGCTATATAATCAGCTTGGAATAATTCTCATCATACACAGTCTAATGTCCCCATTTAATTTGTTCCTTCACCATGATCAGGTGGAACTTGACTGCAGGAGCTGCTAGGCCTAACCCACAAGGAACCTTCAATGTGTCAAATGTGACCCTATCCCAAACCTTCATCCTCCAAAGTTCAGTAGCTGACCTTGGTGACGAACCACGTTATGTTGTCAACAATGTGTCATATAGAACACCAGAAACCCCGTTGAAACTCGCCGATTTCTATGTCAATGGCACTGGTGTGTACCAACTTGATGCTTTTCCGACTCATTATGTCAATGACGATGCTGCATATGGAGTGTCCGTCGTGACTGGAATCCACAAAGGGTGGATAGAAATTGTGTTCATGAATACTTTGGATGCCATGGATTCTTGGCATTTAGATGGTTTTGGATTTTATGTCGTTGGGTAAGTAAAAAACTTATACGTGCGACATGTTATGTTTTTAGTCTATTAATATGTCTATCAAATTAACAGTCAGACAACATATCTATGGTAATTATCTGCAGGTTTGGGAATGGAGATTGGTCAACGGATTCACGGGACACATACAACCTCTACGATCCTGTTGTGAGATCAACAGTCCAAGTGTACCCTGGAGGATGGACTGCAGTTTATGCATTCCTTGACAACCCTGGGATGTGGAACTTGAGATCTCAACTGTTAAAGCATTGGTACTTAGGGCAAGAACTCTATGTGAGAGTTTATGATGCTGACCCTAACCCTGCTAAGGAGAGCCCACCACCCGAAAACCTCCTTCGATGTGGTTAGTGAATTCCGTTAATTCCATGATTAAGCCCTTCAATTTGTTTTCAATCGTCATAATTTAACCTCTAATCGAAACCCTAGCTAATCTTTGACTTTATTTCTTCTATGTGGAAATTGCAGGAATTTTCTCTTCTCCTCCGGCTCCGGCTCCGGCTCCAGCTTCATGGACTTGATGCTGATTGGGAATGACCTTAATTAGTAGAATTATAGATGCATTATGAATAACTAGCTAGCAAACTGCACACACAACTATGAGTGTGCTTGAGTGAGGCTAGAATAAATTTATTTGTTTATTTAAGAGGTTTTTATTTTTTTTATTATTTTTTATTTTTTAAGGGTAAATCGCAGTTTACTATCCTCAAATTTCTTGGTTTTCAACATTTGGTACATGAAGTTTTTTCATCCCAGAGTCATACCTAAAGTGTTAATTTTGGGACAGTCTCATACAACCGTTAATCTGGTTGTTAAGTCTTTCGTTAACTGATGACGTGACGCCCATATGGACAATGACTGTGCAACACATGTTATTAAGGGGTCTACTTGGAAATTAAAAATTTAAAAAAAAAAAAAACACACACACACACACACACCCGTCTTCTACCTTGCCCAACCCTCTCCCTCCCTTCTACACACCCACCAAATTTACTCAGCCTAACTTCAAATCAATTCGAACCCGCTTCGTAATCAATCAAAGCCTGCGTTTTATTCCCACTACTTGGATCCAAATTCTTAGCAGAAATAGAACTACCCACTTCAATTCCAACATGAATATTTCCATCACTCAATGCATCAAATTTAACCGCAGCAACTTTGAATTTACTTTTACCATTTCCCAGAGAAAGCCCAAATAGGCTAAGATTAAAACCCTTTGGAACCATTACAAATGTCAATCCATCCCCACCACCGTTGTAAATAGAAAACAAGAAATTCGTCAAAAAAGACACAGATTTCCAAGGCTTACCTTCATACAGCTCGATGGGTTTCTTGTAAATAGCTCGGCCGACGCTCGAGCTCATTGAACTGGTGAGTTGAACTGCGTATCTGCCATTGACGACCTCTGCATCTCCGTACAGAGCAATATATGACCCAAAGTTTGAAACTTTATCGAAATCAGTGAACGAAAATGAGGAGTTGGAGGCGGTGAAGGTGGTTCTGAGGAAGAAAACGAGGAAATCTAATGCAACGAAGTGGGTGGAGATGCAAGATGCGACCATGGATGAAGTGGGTTGGAGCTAAATCTGGGTGGAGATTGAACAATGGGGTTTCTAGGGCTTAGGGAAGATGCTCATTTGCAATTAAAGGTGAATTTCTTTGGTTTTTTTAGGGTTTGGAAGTGGAAGAAGGCAGAGGATGAGGGTAAAGAATATGGAGGGCCCGCAGCGACGACAAGTACTGAGAGGTGGACGACGGCAAGGGATTGCTAATGAATCTCAAGTCATTGTGCTTGAAGAAGGATTATGGGGGGGGTTATGGAGGTTCGTGACGACGAATAAGAAGGAATTTGAGGCTCTGAGGTCACAGATGCCTCTGGCTTTGGGCGATTGTGTCGATCCGGGGAAGTTCATGTTGGAGGCGATATCAGAGGAGTTTATGGTGGACAAAAGAATGGAGAGGAGCGATAGGGGTGTGCAAAGGAGAGGGGTTACAGAGGAAAGAATGGGAGGAAGAGGTTGGGGGAAGTAGAAGACGGGTATGTTTTTTTTTTTTTTTTTTTTTTTGAATTTTTAATTTCCAGGTAGACCTCTTAATGACATGTGGCGCTCAGTCATTGTCCACATAGGCGCCACATCATCAGTTAAACGGAAGACTTAACAGCCAGACTAATAGATGTATAAGACTATCCCAAAATTAACACTTTAGGTATGACTCTGGGATGAAAAAAAACTTCATGTACCAAATGTTGAAAACCACGAAACTTGAGGGTAGTAAATTAACACAATGGAATTGGATCCTCTCTGAGGCAATGCCATAGGATCCTACTAACCGGACAACATGGGCTGTTGGATTTTGATCCAACGGCTACAAATAAGGGGGTCCCTCTAAAGTTATAATAATTGTAGCTATTGGATCAAAATTTAACGGCCCATGTTGTCTGGTTAGTAGCATTGCCTCAGAGAGTATCCAATTCCCTCCACAATTGAACAAAAAGTGGATGATATGGGTCCTTTCTGTTTTATATCTTTAATCATTTTGTTTAATTGTTCTATTTCCTTTTTGTCGATAATGAGGATATCTTTAGGCCGATTATCGCAACACCTAAAGGACTCCCCTTATTTATCTTGATACAAATCTCCGATTAAGTTAGCTTTTCCGCACTTGTTGCTTTCTTCGTCACACTTTACTTTGGGCGCCGTAGCATTATAAAGAAGGTCAAATTAACACCCAAAAAAAGTGATCCAAAAATGTATTTGCCCTAAAGTTTCAAGGTATGTCCGACCTTTATTTCATAATATTTGCTTCTCGCACCCAGACACCAGAAAGATTGAGTGAGATAAGTGCACTAGCATCCGAACGCACCAAGTGTTAGACTACGGAGCAGAGTAAGCCCCTACCTATTTACTTAGAGAACCTGGGCCCAAGCATAACGAAGATTATTGATTGAACTAGTAGTCTGATAAGAAACTGTTCACACTCAATTTCTCGCTCAGTCTAGTCGAATGAATGAGAAGGTAACTCCCTTTCATGATCTTGAGCTTTAGAGTAAACAGACAATTTTTCTGTGCCCAGCTTCAAGCCAAAAAATTATAGTTAGGCAGTAAAGTTCCCTCAGTTGCAACAGGCCATGTATGAGGAATTGTCACTTGCAGAAGACATCGTTCATTACCTTATTAGATAAAGAGGGACTCAAACCTCTTCCTGACAAAAATACCACCATTGAGGAAAATTCAGACTCACTTTTGGTATCGATTCTGAGAAGACTTTTGCCCACAAATTTTATTTTAGTTCAATTTTGATGAAAGAGTTAGAATGGTATATTTTTTAAGTTTTAATTGACGAAGAATGTTCTATTAATAATTAATTTGATTTGCAAATAATGTAAAAATATTATATGAGCACACATGTAAACCTGCAAACTTTTTTTTTGCTTTAATAGTTTTACACCTTTAAACTTAATTCATTGGCTTTATTACTGGAGTACGGATCCTCGTCAGATCCTCTTTGTGAGAATTTCAGGGATCCATGAGTCATATCCGTTCATCGAATATTGTACGGTCAGAAATCATTTTAAATTTTTTTATTTAAAAATAAACATAAATAGTACTTCACAAAATTGACCGCACGATGTACGATGAACGGACACTATTCACGGATCCCCAAGATCCTCACCAAAAGGATCCGGAGAGGATCCTGTTGGTTATTACTGAATTCCCTTTGGTTGCATGTTGGTGGTCCTTATGGTATTCTTGCTATTTAATAAGCAAAGCTATCGCCACTTAGTACTATGATTTAGTGATATTTCTCTTCACTTATAAGTGAGAGGCCTTAGGTTGGATTCTCGTCAAATACGAATTTGAACCACATTATTACTAATCCATTGTGAGGCTTAATATCGACCTTCATTTTAATAATCGAGAATTCTCCAATCAAAATATTTTCTATTCGTATTTTTATCCATATCTCGAATATCATCTTCTATCATATTTAATGAATTTTGTTTATGTGTGTTGTAGTACTAAGTGGCGGATAAGACACTATTTTTAAGGTATGTTGGAAGACGAAATGTTAATGAAAATTGTGACAAACATAGAGATAGGAGAAGGGTTACTCAAAAAGAAAATGTATCCATTCAATCCTCCCATGAAGATTGGAATGACGAAGTTTTCTTCATGTCTAATTTTTTCTAGTCCTTTCAAAATACAATATTATTCTCATCTACTTTCAATATGCTATAAATTTAGGGATTATCATTTCCAATCCGATAATTTATACCAACGAGTCCTTGGAATAATAGTCCGAAGCCATTCCTCCCTCAACGACAAGCAATCAAAATAGGAGAGTGCATGATTTGGAAACATGCCGTACCCCATCAAATATATGAGACTTTTTTATTTTTATATTTTTATATTTATTTATTTATAATAATGTCACATCCTAGGTTCGACTCCGTTGTAGCACGATATTGTCCGTTTTGGGCCATGCCCCCACGATTTTGTTTCTGGGAACTCACGCGAGAACTTCCTAGTGGGTCACCCACCCTAGGACTGCTCTTACCCAAACTTGCTTAACTTCGGAGTTCCGATGGAACTCGAAGCCAGTGAGTTCCCAAAAGGCCTCATGCTATAGGGAGGGGAGCATGTACATATAAGGAATATCACCCCCTCTCCGTTGGTCGATGTGGGATCTTACAATCCACCCCACTTAAGGGGAACCCGACGTCCTTGCAGGCACATCTGCACCGAACGACAGAGTGGCTCTGATACCATTATGTCACATCCTAATCCTAGGACCGCTCTCGCCCGAACTTGCTTAACTTCAGAGTTCTGAAGGAACTCGAAGCCAGTGAGTTCCCAAAAGGCCTTATGCTATAGGGAGGGGAGCATGTACATATAAAGCACATCATCCCTTTTCAGTTGGTCGATGTGAGATCTTACAAATAACATTTATTTTTGTTATAAAGATGCTTTACTCAAAATGAAATGAGAGCCTAAATATTTTATGATAAATTTTATTTGAACTCTTATAACTTTTTTTTACACTCAATTTACTCTCTATGCCTATATTATTTTTAATTAAAAAGCTAATATCTTTTAAACTCAAGTTTATTACCTAATCTACCCTCACAAACTCAATTCAACATGTAAATTTATCTTTACACCCATTTAGGAAATAAAATTCTAATTGAATAATTTTTATTAAAGAACTAATTTGAATAAAATCCCAAATTGCATAAGCATAAAGTCATAAGGCATGCTTTCGTTAATGTAATACAGTATTACGTCGTAATTGTTGTAGTACAACATTATTCTATGTAGAAATTAATAGAATTTCTTAAGATGATGTGCCTCATTGCTGGAGCTGCTACGTACATCACTATGGCTCCCATCACTATTGTTGCTAGCTAATTTGTTTGTATTTTGTTGTCTCTTTGTTGTGGTATCTGCTGCATCCTAATGAACCAATTTTCAGTTATTCCATGATCTAAGGTAAGTGGTAGCAAACAACATGCTCATTTACTTTAGTAAGTGGTTGCAAACCCTTGTTTCTTTAGGTTAGCCCTAGATTTTCAACCATGATGATGGAGTGGATTCGAGGAAACCAAATTGGCAGGGGAGGCTTCGCCACCATTTACACAGCAAAACACAATAACTCGTCTTTTCAACATTCAAGATTGATGGTTGTGAATTGAAACTTAAAAACTCATCTTCCTAACTCTAAAAAAAATTGAAATCAAACGAAAAAAGTTGCATAAATCAATTCATACCTTAGTTGGAGGATTTAAAACTTCAAAATCACCATCCATTGATAAAAAAAAATAAATAAAAAAAAAAGCTTGTTTTCTCTATAAGAGCTCTTAGCGTTTTAACCGGAATGAGCGTAGGATAAATATTGCGTAAAACTAGGGTTTTTTTTTTTAATTTTTTTTTTAACAAATGATATTTTTACATTAAGAAGGTGGGGGAGTAGGCTAAGCCTCACAATGGACTAGCAATAATGTGGGTTTATTGATAAATTTTAGTTTAATTGTTAGTCTTATCGTGTACTTGACTGTGATTATGCAATAGGATAAGAAAGACAATTCACATTTAAAATTTAAGTTGGGTGTAGAAAGAGGTTATATGGGTTCAAATAAAAAATTTCTTATTTTATTTATAACCTAAACATGAAATTAGGGATTAAAGTGTCTTCCTTTATTATAAAATAACAAAGTCATCCTCCAAAACTGAAAATTATAACAAACAATTAACAAAATAATCTGTTGTACCATATTTGGGACTCACTTTCTAGGGCTCACTCTTTAGCCATGAGCTATGTACGAAAGAGGGAAAGGAAACCCTTGTCTTATAAAAAGGATCTCTCACCCTCATTTTAGGAGGGTGAAAATTTTCTAACATCTCTACTCTCTCAAAGACAATAAGCCACCATGTGCAATGTAACTCTCATACATAGTGAAATTGGATTTACACCCCCAACTTGAGGTAAACCACAATATTTCACATGTGTTCTTGTGTTTGTGTAATTTTACGGTCAAATGTAAGTTGGTTCAAAATAAACCCGATTTTGTACATAATCAATAGAGCATACGTGTACGTTCTACTAAATGTGACAGTATATTTTGCATTTTCCGGAAAGAATATCAGATAGAGATGAAAGCTGGAGCTAACATCTTGTTGCGTGCACGTCGGATTAATATAAAAATGTATAAGAACCTTTTTACCTTTTCTTCTTTGATGTACAACTATAAAACAAACTTGTAAGGGTCTTCAGGTTAATTGTCACGTAGTATAAAATAATGTCTAACGATCTCGCAATGTTGTAAAGTTTAACTGGAATTCAATCATCTTCTACAGAAGCCCAACTCAATCAGATTTCTCTTTCAAAATAAACAAAAATACTTCTTCCGAATAGTGTGCTAAGCCAAACTTCGTGCACGGCCTCCTAAAGTGCTGAGAAAAACAAGGAAATCTTGTTCTCATTTAATTCAAATGTGCCTCTACAATTTTTGTCATCTTTTTCCTTGGCTCTTTGTGTTTACACTTGATCAAAGTGTCGTAGCTATCTTATTTTGTTTGTTTTGGCAGGCGTTTATGATCACTATGATATTAATTTAAAGGATTATATAATTAATTACTAGCTCATTAGCCGTTAATTACGTGAGAATACACAAGGAGGAGGAGGAGGAGGGTAGTTTAGTGCAGGCTTTGCAAGATTCGAAGAAATTGAAGTCCATGTGAAATGGCATGGCCAAGTGTTCCTGCAGCTCTTCTCATATTCTTTGCCCTAGCAGTTTCTGCTGAGGATATATTTCTTGACTGGCACGTCACACTTGACACAAGTATCAAACCGGCATCTGTCGACCAACCTGTATGAACAACATCACAGACTAAGAGTTCAAAACTTGATTTTTATTGTATTTGTTTTATTTTATCTTATTTGTTTTTCCTGAGATCTTTTACAATTGGTAAATTCAGGTTATCGCCATCAACGGGCAGTTTCCGGGGCCGCTAATCAATGGCACAACCAATGATATGTTTCATATCAATGTGTTTAATGAAATGGATGAACCGCTGCTCATAACTTGGTGTGGCCAAATATCGTGTGTTTATATGATCTGTAGTGGATTGTGTTAAATTGATGCATAATTAGTGTTCCAAAAAAAAAAAATTTAAGTCCCCTTAAAATCATATTTATTGATCAATAGTCTCTCATTCAAGTTTAGAAATAGAAGAAAGACTAATAAATTAAGTCTAAGATAAACTGAGAGAGATCTAGTTCCCACACTCCGTTTGTCAACGCAATTTTTTTGTGTGTCAAATATTAAGTTATTTGAAGTGCAGATAGAGAAAAAGTGCCAAAATCACTAGCATTTAGGGAAATATTGATTTGACATTTAGAGCCCTAAAGATTGAGAGTTGTAATGGTGCAGGAATGGCATACAACAAAGACTAAACTCTTGGCAAGATGGGGTATCAGGCACAAACTGTCCTATTCTTCCTGGCAACAACTGGACTTACATGTTCCAGTTCAAGGATCAAATTGGCACTTTTTCCTACTTCCCCTCACTCAAATTCCAGAAAGCTGGAGGAGCTTTTGGTCCGATTCGCGTCAATAATCGCGCAGTTATCCAAGTACCATTTCCGAAACCAGAAGCAGAATTTGATCTTCTCATTGGTGACTGGTACGAAAGAAGCTACAAGGTACGTAATTCACAACCGACCGACATGTAATTGATCGACAAATGTGAACTGTGACCAAAATATGTAAATTTGTTGCTCTAATAATGTAACAGGAAGTTAGGTCCTTGATGAGCACCAAGACCATGGCCTACAACAGCACCCCTGATAAAATTTTGATGAATGGAAAAGGCGCGTATTTGGTACCTCCTACAGAAGGCCATGAGTCTTTAAATGTTACAAAGGGTACGTACAATGATGAGTATACATTTATGAAGTTTTTCTACATTTTGGTTAATTGCATTTGGAATATGTTGATATTATTGGCACCGTTAACTTACAAATGTCGATACATGGTTGATATGGCATCACTCTATAGTCTATATATGCAAATATTTACGATTAAATATGCTATTATATATATGCAGGGAAGACTTACAGAATTAGGATATCAAATGTTGGGACTACATGGAGCTTCAATTTTAGGATTCAAAGTCACAGAATGGTTTTGGTTGAAACAGAAGGATCCTATACAAATAAAATTACATTGGACTCTCTTGATGTTCATGTTGGGCAGTCCTACTCTGTGCTTGTCACAGCTGACCAAACTGTTTCAGACTATTACATGATGGCAAGTCCTAAACTGTTCAATGCTACAGATGTGAGCAAATTTGGCATTGGTGTACTGCATTATGATAACTCCACCACACCTGCCAGTGGGCCTCTTCCAACTGGTCCTGACCCATTCGATCGAGAATTCTCCATCAATCAAGCTAAGTCCATTAGGTAATGCTCGAGACTTCTTCATTGGTTGCTAATTGATTTTGGGTTAGAGTTCAGAGTGATCGTCTTGTCTTGTGATTATTTTATTATATTCCACATTTTATGATTGAACATTTTTGTCTTGTGAAGGTTGAACTTGACCACAGGGGCTGCAAGGCCTAATCCGCAAGGATCCTTCAATGTACATAATGTGACATTGTCACAGACATTCATATTGCATTCATCCACTGCAGAGATTTTTGGTTTACCTCAGTTTACAGTCAACAATGTGTCTTACTTGGCCCCAGACACACCACTAAAGTTGGCTGATCAGTTTCTCAATGGGTCGGGAATTTACGATCTTGATAAATTTTCTACCAACTCTTCAAATGTTGAATCCGTACGTGGAGTTTTTGTTGCCACGGGGACCCATAAAGGGTGGATAGAACTTGTTTTCCAGAATGATTTGGAGGACATGGATGCTTGGCACTTGGATGGATTTGGATTCTTTGTTGTTGGGTAAGCACAAGTCTAACATTTTTAGGGGTAACGTTTCTTGTCGCTCAAGTATTAGTGCCATTGATTAAATCCAACAGTACATAACATATCAAACTCCCATATTTCATACCAATATCGTGTCTCAAAATTTATTTCAGTTTTGGAGCTGGAAAATGGAAGCCTGAGTCGCGCTCTACTTACAACCTTTATGATCCAGTCGTGCGATCTACTGTGCAAGTGTACCCTGGCGAATGGAGTGCAGTTTATGCATACCTTGACAACCCAGGAATGTGGAATTTGAGGTCACAACACCTGAAAAATTGGTATTTAGGGGAGGAGCTTTATGTGAGGGTGTATGATGCTGATCCCAACCCTGCCAAGGAAAGGCCTCCTCCATCTAACCTCCTTCTATGTGGTCAGTAATAGTGTTGTTAAAATTAATTTTAGGAAATTTCCATCTTCATCTTAAAATTTCTCAGTCTTATTTGATTAAAAAGTTAAGTTCTTTATCTATTTCCTTGTCTTGCTTAAACCTATTTAAATTATGCTCCTTTAAAATCTCATTTTATGCACCAGGATTTCGTTTGCAAATCTCCAGCCACCGAAGCATCTAATGCACCATCTTTGCTAAATTAATTGAAGTGTTAAAACTTGTAATTATTTTTGTTTTAATTTGTTAATTTTTTGTTTTTTTTGTTTTTTTTGAAAAAATTAGTCCTATGATTCAAAGCTAACCTATCTTTCTTTCTTGTTTGCGTGTTTGTAGGTTTCACGTTGCTTGCATCTGCATTGTTGCAACATTCCTTCAAATTTCTCGAGGATTGTCCAATTTTTTATAGGGGTACCAAATGGCCATAGATTTAAGAAACTAAATATTAATTTTTTAGAATATTCATTGGCAAAGGGGGATGTGCAAACACTTTCAGAGGCATTACAGTAATCTAGTTTTTATTGTAATAATGTTGAGATTTGATTTCTCACCTAGCCAATGAAGGGAACAACAACCCTTTCATCTATCCATATTATAATATGTAAATTAATAAAATCATGTGAATGTGTGCTGCATATAAACATATTCGAACATCTCAATTGAGAGACATATTAGCCACTTGAGCAAAAAAACTCATTGCTTAACCTTCTCTAGATTGGTGACTATGTTGACACAAGAAACCCCCAAAAAAAAAAAAAAAAAAAAAAAAGAAAGAGGAAGGGACTTGGACATTGAACTCATGCAATTACACTTGTGGCAAGAATGTCAAACACGCTTACATTTAACCCATTTGACAACATGGTGTCACTAACAATCCAGATCCCTTACCTTTTTTTAGAATATTCAGCACAAGAAACCTTGTTTTTCTCTTGGACTAGGCACAAGTTAAAGTATATTAAAAATAGAAATGAATGACTCAGTCCGTCAACAAGACTAATTAAGTCTTGGCCTAAAGACCGATGACAAGAGAAAGAAGAACGAACTCATACAAGTCTAATATTGAATTCCAATTACCACTTAATACTACGGTCCAATGTATTCTTTTTCACTTGTAAGTGAGAGGTTTTAGAGTCGAATCTCACCAAAAGCGAATTTGAACCACATTATTGCTAGTCCATTATGAAAGGCTTAGCCCACCTTAACCCCTTAATGTAGATAATATCGTCTTTTAAAATAATAATAATAATATTGAATTCCAATTAACAAGATTTCCAAGTCCTATAACGTGTTTATATGAAAAATTTTACTTGTGAACAAGGCACAAACTTTGTTGATATGCTGCAATGCTCATCTATAAATAGAGGCAAGGGAACTCAAGACCAACACAATAAAACCCTTACTCATCTCTCTATCTATCTAGCTACCAAATCCCGGAAATGGCCTCCAAAACCTTGCGTAGCCTTATCCCTCCTGATCTTTGTGTTGCTATCTCAAAAAACCCTTGCAAAACCTACTGATGACCATGATCATAAGCATGACTCCTTCGAGTTCATTCAATACTTGGAGGGATGCCACAAGGGTCAAAACGTCAGTGGGTTGCAAGAGCTCAAAAAACACCTCACCAAATTCGGCTACTTTAATTATGATCACTCAAAACACGCGGACAATGACGAGTTTGATGACCTTCTAGAGTCCGCCATCAAGTCATACCAGAAAAGCTACCATTTAAAAGTCACCGGAAGCTTAGACACTACCACAGCGAAACAAATGATGGTGCCAAGATGTGGTGTGCCAGATGTTGTCAACGGCACGCGAAAGGGAAGCAAAAAGTACAACCGCAAACTCAAGTCCCTCCATGGAGTTTCTCATTATGAGTTCTTCCCTGGACCGCTAAGATGGCCATCTACACAAACCCATCTGAGATATCGCTTTGCTTCCAGTGCAAGGCAAGTCCCCGGCACAGAGAATGTAAGGTCTATATGTGCACAAGCATTTCAGAGATGGGCACAAGTGACCACTTTTACATTTGAGGAAGTTCCTTCTACTTCAGCGGCTGACATTACCATTGGCTTCCACCGTGGCAACCATGGAGATAGGTCCCCATTTGACGGCTTCAAAGGGACTTACGCGCATGCGAATCCGCCTGGAGGTGGAAACTTCCATTTTGATGCATATGAGACATGGAGTGCCAATCCAGGGCCGAATGAGATAGACTTGGAATCCGTTTCTGTACACGAAATAGGCCATCTTCTGGGGCTTAATCACAGTCCTGACCTCCCCGATGCAATCATGTATCCCTACTTTGAATATGGGATGGTGAAACGTGATCTGAATAGGGATGATATTGATGGTATACGTGCTTTGTATGGTTTACAGTAGCAAACACATCATAGATTGTTATTACTACATTGATAAGAAGATGGAGTGAGGTGACTGCAAGTCCCTATATATAAAGAAAATAAATGATTTTTGGTACAAGATATATACATTTTTGCATTGATGAAGATGTACAATTTTTTAACCTTTTTTATTTTTGGTTGCAGATGTTATAATGAAAGTCCTTGAAAGTCTTTATGGTATTTCTTTTCGCGCGATTTGGTTTCATTGTCCCCTCGAGAGGTCTAGGTTCCTCAAGTCCTTATGCTATTTCTTGTATAGTTTTTTTCGATCGCTCTACTTCTTTTATCTAAATTTTGTTGTGGGTCTGTTTGGAGGGATGCGAGTGTTCTATTGAGGGCTAGGTTCCTTTTATAAACACAATTGTGAGTATCAATGACTTGTCAATCAAATCATTTGATCCTCGAGTAACTTATTATTTGGGTGACTTGATTTTCTAAGTGATCTTATGGCCCAATATGGTTAGAATAATAGAGTTTTAACCTCTGATTAACCTTTTATGTGATCCCTATTTAGTAAGCCTTATTATGGTGGGACATTGGTTGATTGGATTATGATTCGGTAAATCTCTCTTTCCTATAATTGGATGGATGGGGAGAAACTCTAGTCAATATAAAAGGCATGTCCCTGCTCTCACAACAATTATTCTCATACACAATACCAAAACCATATTCTCTTGGTCGAGAACACTTTTGGTTGCTAAGAGTAGAAAACTCATTTGTCACATGCAAAAGCCATGTCTTTCAGATTTTACAGATAAATTCAAGTCACATCTTTCACATTCTACGGATAAGTTCATCTCTATTTTATATTGATTCGATTCATTATATTCATTATCCTAATGTGTTGTTGCACTTTTATCTTACATGTGGTATCAGAGCCAAACTGTTTGAGTAAATTTTGACACAAGTAAAAGCACAGTTGGTTTGTTGTTTTGGTTGGGTGTCTTTTACCTATCGATCATGATTCTTCCGCTTACTTTTATACTGTTTGCACGAGGATTCTCTAATTACAATTTTGCAAAAATTCAAGGCAAAAACAGCACTCCCATTTATTTAATAATAATAAATAAATAAAGGGAAAACAAGGGGGAAATTCACGTTTCCTTGCATGTTTTCTTTGGCTTCTTTCTCTTCCTGGCGTGGGCGAGTCGAAACTTGAGACTTAAAAATTTTTTTTTTTTTTTTTGGCTTTTGGTTTTTGGCTTTTGACTTTTGGCTCTATTCGATATTTTCCAGTAAGAATTTTCTCTGCAAAGGCATGAAATTAGTCTTCGCAACTTAATCTACCTAATTTGGTGGAATTGATATTAAGCTTTTGGTTCCAACCGAATTGAGAACTAGATAAAGGTTTTGTTGATTCTGGGCAATCAGCCTTCTTTTTCTTCTTCAAATTCTCCATCTCAAAATTGATTAGGTTGAGAATTTACGCTTCCTCTTATTGCTTTGTAAAATCTAGTCTTCAAAAAATTTTAAGAATTTTGGTTACTTTGCTTATATTTTGTTACTCAAAACACGCCAACGATGATGAGTTTTGACAACCTTCTAGAGTCCGCCATCAAGTCGAGCTACCATTTAAAAATCACAAGAAGCTTAGACACTGCCACGGCGAAACAAATGATGGTGCCAAGATGTGGTGTGCCGGATGTTGTCAACGGCGCCCCAAGGGGAAACGCACAACCGCAAGCTCAAGTCCATCCATGAAGTTTCTCATTACGATTTCTTCTTCCCTGGACCGCAAAGATGGCCTCACGGCCACCTACAAAAACCCCAGATATCGCTTTGCTTCGAGTGCAAGTCAAGTCCCAGGATGTAGTTATGTATTCTGAAAACTATAGTGCATTTAGTTTCACTCTGAAAAGCTCTGTGATGTGGTTTTTTTTTTTTTCTTGGAACAAACGATAGTATCTAGACTAGGGGTGGAGAAGTGGGATGCCTTACAATGAGCTTGCATTAATAATGTGGTTCAACTTTGCCTTTGGCGAGAATCGAACCTAAAACCTCTCACTTACAAGCGAAGAGGAATACCACTAGACCCTAGTACTAAGTGGCGTGTTATGTATTCTAAAAACTATAATTCCAATCCCTGAATAGGTCTGGCCATGAGATTTCGAAGGGCCGTGTGTGAAACTTAAACTAAGTCCTAACATGATTTAACACGATAATACAGAAGAAGAAAAAATTAGCGTGAATAGGTGCCGTAAATTAAGCAGTCGGTGTTTAATTGACAAATAGAACATGGCTAACTTTTTGGTGCATTAGGGGACAGTAAGCATGGCTCACTATTCCAACTCCACATCGAACATAGACTACTTTCTTGCCGTGGATCTTTCCCACCTGGAATCGCCACCCTGCAACACCACACTGCCTCTCAGATTAGCTAAAGTACAATATGCAATGCTTCAAAAGGGTAGGGGGGGGAAATAGAAAAGAATCTGAGATAACAATTGTGGCAAGCTCAGAAATCCACAAAAGGTTGATTTCATTAGGCTTAAAAGCCGCGGTCTGTAGAAACAAACATCTCCGGTGATGGAAACACTGTGATATGTCCAATGTACGGTCCTCAGGGGTTAACTTCTTTGATTAGATTCAAAGAT